ACAACACGCTTTAAATTTTTATCCGCATACATTGAGGATTAAAATGATACCAGTTGTTTTTTTAAGTACCCAGAGTGAATTTAACTCCTAAATTATAAAGACCTGAAATGCACCTACTCCGTACACTCCCACACACCGTAAATAAAAAAATCTTAAATAAATAACTATTAAACTAAGGGTCAAATAAATACTGGTCAAGTTTTTCAATCTGGGAGTTTCAGGGATGTATGTGGAGGGTGCATTTTAGGCCTTTCAGTGGCCCTCTATCCAAGGCTCTTGGTTTATGAGTTATTCATTAGAAGTGGGATTTTGGGGAGGAGGTTTGCAGACAGGCATATATATTAGGTTTTTCAGTGTTTCTCTATCCAATGGTGCATGGTTCCATCTTCTATGACCATTGATCTTCTAATTATTCCTGTTTAGCAGTGCCCTAAAAATATTATTCAGCAAATTAGTCCACCTCATAAAAGTTACATACTGCAACTTTTTCTGTAGTCTAAAGGTTGCATATACGACTCAATCGACTTCTTGGAAGTTGCCTATGTAAACACCATGGCCGGCGCTACCCACTAGGCAACTAGGCGATAGTCTGGGGCGCCACACAAGTTCTTAACAACTTAGACAAAATTACTTAATCTAACTAAAAACACGAAACTTAGTAATAAAGGACGCAGTGGCTAAGACTGATGATAGCAATGTTGAGAAAAAAACTTTGTTGAAGTGTTTTATTAAAAGAATGAGAAAATGTTGTTCTCACAAGAAGCAGCGACGCTTTGGGGTGGGATGTAACTTCCACCCTCTCCCTGACCATCCCATGCTCCCGGGGATGATCGGGGAGAGGATCGTGTTGTGTTATGACCTGTCACATAATTTGGCGTGGGTGGTGTGGAGTGGAAAATTCAGGCTCAGTCATCTTCTTAGAGTTCAGAGTCAAATGGATTTTGGTCAGAGCAACAAGTTTCAATAACTCAGTTCGACAGCCTGTCGAACTGTAAGTTGAAATTGTCTTATTTCTGTAACATAATTATCTGATTTATGTTGTATTAGGTCGTCAAGAAATTAATGTCGCGTTTTGGAACACTTTCATTAACCACCCTCCAAAAAACGTAGATTCCGAACCGCCTAAACGTCACGTTAGTGCAGCCTATATAATGTGTAAAGTTTAGTATACTATATAATAAGTGTATAGTGATAGCACAAGACGAGACACACATTCAGCATGTAATGTTGTTTGAATACAAGAAGGGAAACAACGCCTCTGTAGCCACAAAGAATATTAAGCAAGTTTATAGAAATGTTTTGAAAGTTTTGTTCAGGTGACTACAGCCTTAAAAACTGTGAAGGCAGGGGCTGACACGTTGGAATTGATTTTGATGCTCTGAAGACACTTGTTGGGTCTAACCCAAGGCAACACACTCGTGAAATGGCCCTGACATTGCAGGTCTCTCATGAAACAATACATAAAGATCTAAGAAATATAGAAAAACTCCATAAAAAAGGTGTTTGGGTGTCATGGTTCAAGATGGCTACATAAAAGCCACTGTTTGAGGAAGATAGCAGCAATGGCAACTATAGCTGCAGATCCTGCTTCTAAATAGTCTCCAGAGCCAATAAAGGCCCAAAAAGACCAAATATCCATCAGCATTTTGCTCCATCAGCTCCACTGCAGCAAAACACGGTACCAAATGCACCAGCAGGGATTCCCTTTCAGAGGCATGAAGACTATACCACCACTGCAGCCAGAGGCATACTCCAAAACGTACCATGGGCATGAGAGAAGGAGTACCTACTTCAACTGTGGTATGTTTGATCACTATTTTTGAGACTACCAATCTACTCTACACAGAAACATGAACAAGGTGAATTGCTCATAGAGTTTGCTTATAATTCCGTGTAACCAAATGAACAAGTGGGTTGAACACATTATCACGTAAATATCGGTGATTCATATTTGATAAAAAAAATGTCATACAGGCTCCTTTGGAGTACCATGAACATAGCTAGTGCTGAAATTGAGTGGCTGTTGAAAAGTTCTTAGTCATCTCTAGTAGTAATTGTCAAACCTACCTCGATGAAAACAATCCTTTAGATTATTGGAAGATCCATGAAAAACTTTCCTATCCTATCTATACTAGTCAAAATGTTATCCAATTATTCTAGCATCCTCTGCCCCCTTTGAGCGTTTGTTTAGTCTCGGAGGCAAAAGCCTCAGACCTGATCGCTGCCACCTCACTGACAAGACATTTGAGAGACTGATGTTCATACACAAGAATGGGAAGTTATAATACCTATAAGTCTCCTTTAAAATATATTTTTTGTTCTAAAACTTTGTTATTGCATTTTGAAAAATAAAAGTACCGAAATCTTATAGTCTGTTGTTTTATCATTATTGCATATTACCTGACATAGTATTCATGAATGAATTCCTATGTATAAAAACATGAAGTATTCGTATTCGCCCCATCCCTGCTCTTAATATCAATGGATTCAAGGCTATTTTTGTTTAATAACAGTACTATACAGGAATTGCCCTAGACTGAATAAGAAGGTTACTTGATGTATTAACTCTTAAATATCAACGGATTCAAAGCTATTTTTGTGTAATAACAGTGCTATACAGGAATTGTCCTAGACTGAATAAGAAGGTTACTTGATGTATTAACTCTTAAATATCAATGGATTCAAGATTACTTGTATGTAGCAACAATGCAATATAGGAATTGTCCTGTACTAAATAAGAAGGTAATTGATGCAGTAACTCTTAATATCAATGAATGCAAGGCTATTTTTATGCAGTAACAGTACTATATACTGACTGAATGAAAAATATTTTGAAATATAACCGTTGAAACTGCACAGATAAATGGTAACTTAAAAAAATAAAATATATAAATTTATAATATTTTTCCTATGTATATTATTTCAATTACTAACACACTAAGCTGTGTTTCTTTTAACCCTTTTAAGACACTGCTGTTCGAGACAAAATTAGGTACAACACTACCATACAATTTTGTCACTATATTTGTCTTCTGCTGAACATGTGCACCCTGTGATTCTAAATTAGTGGATTTTTTCTTTGTGTGTGTGTGTGTGTGTTTTCAGCTGAAAGATTAAAACCACATGAAGATTAAAATTATATCAATAACATTTCATATGCATTAATACATTTAGCAGGAATATCTAAATTTTTCTTCTATTTCTAAATTTATATAAAGCAAATGATAGATTCTTTTCAAGGTAACAAACTGCCACTAGTGTCTTAATCACAATCACACTAATTGTTTTGTCAGAGATATTTACCCACAATACCGAATTTTAACAAATGTGAGGACTAATAAGAATTTCATAAAGGAGAAATACATTGCATTTAATTCATAACCACTAAAGTAAAGTGTATCTTCACAAAATTTTGCAGACTATGAGCAAATGTTACTTGTCTTTTGTTGACCAAAAAAATCAGGATTTTTAATCAAGTATTTTACTAAAAATTTGTGCATCAACATACGGAGTCAGAGTTGACTGCTCTTAGTGCAGTGATTTTCATGTTAAGAAAAAAAATACTTTTCTTCATCTGAAAATTGTGAAATTTCAGTTGCGTGATCTCTAAACTCTCCTAAATAAATATCCAACATTTTTTCAGAAAAACTCTGTATGTTATCTGTTATTTTCTCTATCCTAACTCCATACATGGTTGGTCATTTTGACCGACCTTGTAACTGCCATAAAAAATTAGGAAATAAATGTAAATTAGCCTTTCTGTCTTTCTAGAATGACTGCAAATTGTAAAAGGAAACTACAATTATTTATCATAAATAGCTTAAAACATTTAACAGTATACATCTACTTATACTTAATTTTACTGACCTTTGTACGGTGTCTAACTAATAATCCTGTTTCACGAGTTGTAAATCCTTGGCAAACGTGCAGTTCATAACATACCTTTTGAAGAATTTTTGATTTTCTTCATAATCTTATCCATTCTAACCTAATAAGTTTCTAATTTTTACATGATAGTTACTTTTATAATAATAAATAAAGTTACATGTGAAAAACAAGTACTTGCCTGGCCTTTTTTTTTTCTGTCAACAATCTATGAAACTTAAGCTTACTTTTTATACTAATGGTACTACTACACTAAACAACTTAAACAAACTATCATAATATTTCTGGTTTTCTAACTATGCAATAAGAGCCCTCAAAAATTTAGCTAAGCTCATCAATGTGTTTCCTATGGAAATAAAATTTCAAAATGGAAGCAAAATACACAAATCTCTGTACAGAAAACAATGTAATATAATATATCATTTGATAGACTGAAACTCTGGCTTTCTATTGGTTATAAATAATATAGTATTAAACATCACAGAGAACTATTGGCAATTTGTGAAAGAGGATTTGGCAAGAGTTTCTGATTTTCTAGTTTATGGCTCCATAAACAAATAAGATTGAAGACTATAAAAGTTATGCTTTTCCTGAGTAATAAGTATGTTATAATAAATAATTTATGTTAAGTTTCATACTTCTAGGAGGAGTGATAAATAAATTAGAGAAGAAGGGAGACTTAGGCAGCAAATGTCACAATTTTCACATTAGGAGAGACTGAGGATTTGTTAAATATTTCCATATAAAATTAAGAACTTAAAACTTAAATAATATTAAAATATGATTTATTAACTATGTTTAATTAAATTTTGATTGTAATTATGTAAAAAGGTTGTGACGTGCAGAAAAGGGTATCTGTAGGGAAAGATATATATCCTAGAACACACAATAAATAAGAGATAGCAAAAATATATCTGCTGGTATATATGTACCCTAAAAAAGTTTTGGAACAGAATAAATAAAACAAAATCAGTAAAATATATAATCAATACTGCTGCATACATACTATATTTTAACAACTATGTATCAACATCTTCATTAATAGTTGGAAAACGTGAAATAGTCATATTTTTCGACACACTCCAAACTGATAATGCAAATTTTATTAATGCAAAGACAGTGAGTAAGCCTTGAAGAAAAAATACAGCATTCTTACAATGCAAATAAACTGCCAACAAGGAAAAGTTTGAGAACTAAAAGGAATCTTCAGAGACTATATAATTAATTTAAAATGAATGATGTATGTTTGTTTGTTTCTTCAGCATGTCTTAAGATTTAGAAGTAATTTAGTTTTCAGGGTGAGGCTTTCTATACATCCAAAAAAAGGCACATTTTGTATGGTGGCCACTTGATGTTGTAACTAGTTACAGGATAGTAAAACTCCCAAGTAAAGGCAATTGAGTTGAATTATTTTCTAGTAAATATGATTTTGGGCATAAAAAAACATTTATTATTCTTATTAATTCTATTCTGTAACAGAAATCTGTTTTTACTTAACGAGTTACAACTAACATTAAACAAATGGGTGGAACAAGTTAATCAGTAATGAAGATATCAGGAAAATTAGATGCGCTTGGACATAAAAGGTGGATAATATGCTCTAGAAAATAAGAAGTGGTATGTAAAATATTTAGTTAATTACTTTCTTTAGGAATTCAACATATCTCGGATGTGAAAAGCATCTCATAAAAAAAATTCAAAGTTATTTTTAAGTTTGAATCTATTGATAGCATAGGACTGTGATTAAAAACCATGGAACTATTCTTACGAAAATTGACACTGACAAAAAATTTAATAAATATCTTCATTTACAAGCTGCTTATAAAAATAACAGCTGCAGTGGTATGATGTTTGGCCACATTTGAAATCAAGATTAATGATCTTTACAATGAGTTAAAAGTAAAATAAGTTTTCTCAGGAAATGTGAGTATTCTTAATTTGTTGAATGAAGTTAGTTTTAAACTTGTATATTTATGTGCGTCAAGTATTTTTGCTTGTCATCAGCAATCTCCTAAGTTTTATTAAATTCATAAAATGCAATTCTACATTTGAAACTTTATTTGTAGCTGCATAGTAAGATACAGCTCATTTTATAAAAGCCAATAATTAATATACAAAATATGTTTTTAAAATATGATACAAAACAGGCAAGCGCTAGAATTGGCCCAGCCTTGGTTATATTAATCTATTATACTACTCAAGAGTAAACAACAACAACTGGTTTCAAGATGCTCAAGGAAAATATACTCTTAGACCATATTTCATGGAAAAAATAGACAATTTTACACACTCTAAGGAGCCTTTGAAAGCACAGAAGTCAATGAAGAGTTTTCAAACATAGCCCTTTCAAAAAACACCAGCAGTTACCAGCCTAATCTTTGATTTACAACCAACCATAACGTGTTTGTTTGATAACTTAATAAAGAGAGCAAAGTAATATTTGTTTACTTATAAATAAGCATTAAAATTTACACAACGGTATTTTATTTTAATCAAAGGCACTAAAATCCTTTTAAAAAATTCCTGTTTTTATGCTGGTGTTCTTTACATGCTGAACCCAGACCTAACATATTATTACAAAAAACAGTAGCAACAAGTACAATAGTATATTTACAACTTTAGTGTTGAACTGAACAAGACAACCTCACTCAACTGAAACAGAGCTTGAAAACATAAAAGTTTGAGAGTTTGTACTACGAATATGAACAGAAAAAAAAAGGCTTATGCAAATGATGGCTGGTTAAGTAATGCTCCATGTCAGTTAATAAGATGAAAACAACAAAATTGGCACTTGGCAGGTGAAAGGTGAAATACACTGAGATACACCGTTTAAGTGCAAATGTTTTTCTTGGCATTCAGCATTTGTTTGTATAAAAACATTCATACAGAGAAGAAACTCAATTTAACTAATTCAGTCACAACCCCCGGGAAATGCTGGAACTACACTGTGGGGCCAGCCCACTGATGTAGTCCTGTCTCGCTGCCAGCATAACCATAAACACACAATCTAACTCTACAAATCAATCTCGTCACACCTGTACACCATATTCAGGATCCACTACATACTCAAATCTTTTTGAACCTGACTTGTTATCCCCTTGCTTGTTACCAAATGCTGTAGTGTTAACTACTGGACTGAATTTAGAGGATAGATCCACACTTTGAAGTCCACTAGCTTGAACTTCTGCTTCTGTACTATCATCTGGAGGAAGTTGTGGGACAGCAATCTCAGCCCTTGTAAAAAAAGCCATTTTCTCTCTGGAATAAACACAATAAATAACATCAAAGGAGAAGAAGAAAATCTACACTACCTTTTATTGAACTTTTTTTTTATAGTAAACATTTGAACTCCATACTTCTACACTCCATTACATTAATATATTTCACAATTTATCAAAATAAGATGTTTTTACTATCCATTTTCCTGATATCATAAGTGTTTTTTTAAAAATATGATTAATTATTTAATAATTTGGATAAATGGCTTATCATATGCTATGCCCGAAGAACATAGTTTTGTGCTTTGACAGCTGACGTCTTAATGATCAAACAACGTTTGCATACAAAAAAAATCAAGCAAGATAATCAGATTTGCTTGTCATCTTGTATATTTCTTCAGATGTTTCTAAACACATTTTAAACAATATTTCTTTAATGTGCGACATTGCACTTACATATGTATAAAATATATATTTTAATAAAATTATCACACCTCTGAAGTTTACAGAAATAACCAATGAAATAACTGCTAGTGGTGGCTCTTAATTCTCAAATAATTTCTATATTATCCAAAATGTTTCATTCAGTCAATTTCAAATCTCTTTCTCACAAATTAAAAATTAAGTATAAAATACATAACTAAATATAGCCACACTTCTTTCACAACTTATCTAAAAGATAATAGTAAGTAGTAATTGGCCATTAAATAGTTACTTTGTAGATATCAATGATGGTAATCTATATTGGTATATGTTTTATAACATTTAAGTTAAATATATAAAGCCACTCGTTAACCGTAACTTTTAAATAACCATTACAATTATTATTAGTTAATAAAAAATACTGAAGGGAATTTTAATGAAATTGATGTAATTTGTTGCTGAACAACACCCTACAATACACTACAGTATTCAGAGATAGAGCTGTAGAAGCAAAAGTAATGTCGTGTCTTGGAACCCTTTCATTAACCACCCCCCAAAAACGTACGTCACGTTAGTGTAGCCTATATAATATGTAAAGTTTA